TTCGGTTCTGAATGAACGGCGGCGGCGAGCGCATCAGTTTGCATTTTCCTTCCTTTTCATGTATGACGCAAGAAAAAGAAATGACCAGACGAATCAGCGGGCCAGCAATGTGGCAGTGTGCAAGCTGTGTCGCGGCATCAGTCAGCTTGCGGGCGCTGTAGGCCCTGGATTGAAATCTCGGAGCTGCCGGACCGCCAGTGGGACGGGACGAGTGGTCAGCGCACCTCTGGGCTCCGTGCATTCCCGCGGCACTGGCAGCGCATGCTTGAGCAGCGTCTGTGTGCCGTCGGTGGCCCGCGCTGTCATGGAGTCTGCGCTGGCCAGCTCTTTCACTGGCCCATATTGCGCTTGAAAGCTGCGGCCTGCGTTGGTGGGCGCCCGGAAGGCCCCGGCCTGCTGCAGACGCGCCCGACGGCCCTCTGTCAGCTGCTTGCTGTGTTGGAACTTTGCAGCGTTGTCCTAGAGCACCCTAAACTGGGTCGCAGGCTGTGTCTCCACGTCCTCCGGCGCGGCGTACACTGCTTCGTGTGGCCTTGCATTGTAGGCTTCCGTGGCGTTGGCGGCGTGGTCGTCCCACTGCCACCGTGGCGGGCCACCTCGCCGGCCAGATCCTTTTTCAAGTTTTGAATCAGTCTGTCCACCGGTGCGGTGCACCGCCTGCCCAGGCAGCGCCGCCTCGAGTGTCCTGAATTCGTTGCCTTCGTCCGTAGTGACCACGTAGTTGCTCTCAGCCCTCCACCAGCTCCGAGATGGCTTCCGCGGCGGCCCGGGCCAGTGTGGCCGCGTTCTTGTCGGGCAGCGGCCTGGTCACCGCCTCCCTGGTGAACACGTCCGTGACCACCAGGCCGTACTTGTTCCGGCTGCGGGTGTTCTGGCTGAAATCGATCAGGTCCGCCTGCAGCCTGTCGTTGGGGCCCTCCGCCGCTCTCTTGCCCAGGCTTCTGGGTTTCCGCGCCAGCACCTGCCGGGCCACGTCCCCCTGGAGGGCGAAGCGGGCCAGTGCCTGCGTGATGCCGGGCCGCTCGGGGAACTCGCGCTTCGCTAACTGATAGAGCTTTCGGGGGTCTCGAACGCTAAAGTCCTGGGCCAGCTGCCGCAGCAGCTCCAGCGCAGCCTGCTCGGCCATCACGCCTTGGATCGGCTCTTTGCTTTAGCCCTTGCCTCCAACGCCTCGACTCTGCTCTGAAGCTTTTTGCAGACACGCCAGAGCACTGCTGTGAGGCGGCAGTAGTTGAGCGTCAGCAGCTCCTGGCCCTCCCGCTTCGTCGTGCCGGTGACGCCGCTGCCTTGGAAGTCCTGCGCCAAGAAGCCCAGGCAGTCCCTCATCTCGGCGTCACTTCGATCGTAAAGCTTCGGTTGCGCCGCGTCGAAGACGGCTTGCAGCGCCTCGAGGCAGCTCCGGCGTGGACACCCTCGTGGGAAACACGGCCTCTGTGCCGGTGAGAATCTTTGTGAGCTCCAGCGCGCCTTCTGCGCGCAATCCTGCTGAGCCGCCGGTTAGGGTCAGCGTCTCCGGCCCTGGCCCTTACGGCTGCACTGGAGAGCCGCGGAGAGCCCCTCGTCGGGGCCGCTGGGCATGTCGATGGTGAGCCTGTGGTCCACCTGCGACCTGACGCCGAAGAAGGCTTCTGCGGTGGTTGTATGGTGCTCAGTGTTTCTTGCGTTCGGCTAGGTTTTATGCTTGTCAGCAGAAAAGCTTGTCA